ACAAACACTGAAAGGATCAGGCGCAGAATAAAAGGGTCTGAAATTGTCGATTGGGTCGCACTTGTGGACATTGATTGGGTGAAAATCGATAGCATTACATAGAAACTGGGTCGTCGGCGAGAAGCCCCGGCTTGTAATCGAAAAGCTTATACCACATTCTCAATATTCAATTACCAGTGTCCTGTTAAAGGTCCTTCTCGCCACCCATGCCACGCAGTTGGCCAACTTCTCTCTGCGCCCGGTTGTGAATGCTAGACAGGCAAAAAAAGAGTGAAGGGATGGGGTTTCTGGAGGGCAGTTGGTCCTGCTTCTGTCTGCTTTTGGCCTCTTTGTTGTCGCTGGCACGCACAATTACGCGGAAAATCGGAGAATTGGCGGGAGGAGTGAGCGAAAAAGAGCAGCGGGAAAATGGGGCGTATACGTGATGTTTGCCTTCGGGGCCAAAAGCCGGCGAAATCGAGGATTTGCAGATGAGAGCTTTATCGGCTGCAGGTCAGTCACTCACTGAATTCCCACGAATTCCCATCCCATCGCGACTGATTTTAGCACAGAGAGAATAAATCTAGTGGGAACTGTAGACTCGTTTTTTATTCTAACCCTTTTTAATACAAAATTCATAAAGCATCTGGCATAACTCGAAAGAACTTTACTTTATTAAATGGAAAGCCTCAAAGAAAAGTCTCATGACTATAAGAAGGCAATGTAAAAATCTCTCTCAAATAACTATTGTCAAAGCCAAAGAAAACAAAGCAAAGAAAAACAATAGATAAAGACTTTGGAGAAAAACATCAGCAGAGCAGAGAAAACAAGAAAAATACTGTACGATGCATAAGGGAAAAGAATAGGTACCTAAGTAACTAACAATCTCAAAAGCCACGTCTATGATTTATGGTAATGAAATGATATTTGGTCTGCAGGAAATATATACTGTTTTAATCCAGCCAAAAATGTACGGCATTTTTGGGAAACAATTGTTCTCGATTTGAAGGTCGTGTCGATTGCATCATTAATAATGGCAATGCGCCAGCTGTTATCCTGCCATTCCGATTCCTGATGTCTGCACATATCACGTACCAAATGTCTCTAACGAGAAAACAAGGATTCCAAGTGCGTGTTTGTTTTTTGAGTAATAGCTCGCACTCACATCAAGAGATTTACAGACAATAAACTGGAGAAAAAAAAGAAATGCGGTATAGACTGACCACAAAATATTTGGCGAGAAATGGCTGTTTATTTTGTTTTCTGTTCCTAACAGTGCACTCAGAAAATGAATCGCCCTGAATTTTAGAAAATCGCCTATGGATTTGCTTCACTGGCGATTTTTTTTTTAAAATAAAAATTTTCTCTGGTAGAATTTTCTTCCAATTAATCAAATTCATTAAATTCAAGAAATATTCCAGAAATAGAAAAAAATCGCCAGTAAAGCAAATCCATAGGCGATTTTCTAAAATTTTTTTTTGAGTGTGTTGAAGTAAAAGCGTGTTTTGATTTGTATATATTTAGATGATTCAACAAGATCTAAGCAACCAAAGAATTTTCTTAAAGCAACGTTTTCAAATTTAAAAGAAATTGATACCATGGCTTATTATTCCTCCATGAGATTCTAGTTCTTTGTGCTTTGGATTGCTCTCCTGTTGACCAGAAATTGTCGCTTTAGCAGGCAATAAGGCGTACCTCGAGTACTATAGCATATGTAGAGGCAATAACTGTGTGTTGCAGACTGGGGACCTTTATTGCAATTTGTGATTGTTGCAACAGCTTGTTTGGCAACCTGGAACGGTAATTGTGGTGAAAATAGCAGAGTCCGAGTGTAAAAGTGAATTTGTTTGGCCCACTTTCTCTTGGCTTGTGTAAGCTTCCAAGTAGGATACCAAATAAAAGTCTTGGCAGGGAACCATTTTAATATTTAAAATATCATTCATTACAAAATATTTGTAAGTTCGAAAAAAATGGAAATTATAAGTAGGCTCAAATATTTTGCATATTTTTAGCATTTTAAATACCAATCTTGATATTATTTCAGCCGAAGTCATTAACGTCGTGGCAGTAAAGAATAGGACTTGCTAATTCTGCCTTTTCCACGAATTAAATTTGTATGAAAACACTTTCATCAAAGGAAAAAAATACGTTTGTTGCGCATACGTCGCGTGTGCCCAAGGACGAAACAACATAAGCCGCCGACTTCAGCGTCTCATGCATGTTTTGTGTTTTGTGTGAAACCAATAGCCATAAATTTTCCTAGCCAAGCACGAAATTCCTATTTACTTTCTGTACACAGAAAAAAAAAAAACAGAGAAGTAAAAGGAAAGAGATAGAAGTCCACCAAGCTCCTCTGACTGTTTGTTTTCCTTTCCCTTTATGAAATTCAAATTTTATTATGGCCAAGATGAAAACTTGAATTGAGTTTCACAATGAAATATAACAAAACAAAATTATATGCATGAGTTTTTCTCCAGGAGTATGCAAACAAGTTTTGCTCCTTAGCCGCCGGCCCTTTAAAACATGGGTTTTTACATAAAAATGAAGAGAAAACTTGAGTGCAGAGTGACAGCTTTCGATTTGATTAAGTTGACTCGACTTAAAGTTGAAAGCAACCGAATTTGTGTTTTAGAGGTCCTGAAAATTAATACCCATTTTATATGTAAAATTTTTCTTTTATTTCTTTTGAAGTGATTTACGGACAACAACTGCAATTCAGACAAGTTTTTGCTTCCCAGACTGACAAGGATCAATGATGTCAATTTCGGAAACAATCTGAAAAATGGAAATTCAATTGCTGGCACTTTCCCAAAGTCACACATTTTGCATAAACCCAGAAGGGGATATTAAGAACACAAAAAGGGGGATTCTAAAATCCCAGACCTGTCCCTTCCCTTCAGTCATTTTTGTTTTGTGGCATTTCATGCAACTGTTGAGATGCGTTTAAAGCCGTAGCAAAACGCTTGGCACTTTAAAAGGATTTTTTTATCGGTTTTCTTTAATGGTTTATTTTGAAAATATTTTACCTGACTTGTTTTTATATATTTCAATGATTAATTGTTGATGTCAGCATTTCACTAATGCATTTCTGTCACTGACTGATGTCTGACAGCCGAAAAAACTATATTTGATTTAATTGCTTTCAAATATCAATGTTTCCTTTCAGGCGACGTGCAATATACAATGCAAATTGAAATCTAAATAAAAAGCCAAACTTTTCTTGTTTCAAAATGTGCAATGAAAACTGACAACGAAAAACAAGGCATTTGGCAGGGGCCAGAATACAAAGTACACAAAATGTTGTAAATGTTTTGTGCTGTCATTTCAGTTGAACATTTCAACAAATTTGGTTTTTATGACAGCCAAATGTGTGTGTAATTATTCCTGTCGAATGTCGGAATGGACGCGAAGGGACCTTGGCCAGACTTGGCAGGAAAATTGCCCCGAACAATTATTATGATGGTTGATAAGCCTCACGCACACTCCGACTTACAGTCACACACACGCTTACACTTACACTTACACGCCCACAAGCACACGTGCACTCAGTCGTGTGTGTAGTAAAAGTGTGGAGTTGGAATTCGCTTTGCTACGTGACTGTTGGTAATTTTCGTGCACATTGCGTATACGTAATGTGACGCCGGTCCCAACTAAATGGCCCTGCTGCAGCACTAACGCACGACATTTGCGAGGGCTTTGGTGCCCCTTCAGGTTTCATACACAGAAAACTAAAATAAGTTCTTCCAATTAACTGCGAAAATCATCAGGATTCCCTCAAGCTTCTTTTGAATTTAATAAATCCGGCTGCAAACAAAAAAGCTCATATATGGCTTTCTTTTTTCTAATATATTTTTGTACCTTATCTTAGGATTTAAACTTAGTTTCTAAACATTTTTTTCTGTGTATGGATTTTTTTGTGTGCTTTATCCCAACCCCCGCTTATTGTCGCCTTTGCCCTCGTTATTTCGCCATTTATGCGACTACCTTTTCGCCCCAGCCTTTTTTTGACTGGTACGAGTACGATAATGTTGCCTGCTTTTCCACGCAATTTTGTTGAGTCTCTCGGTTTCTTTTATTGTTTTATTTTTATTGTTTATTACCGCATTATTTCTTTTTCTCGTGTGCGGTAATGCACTTTCCCTTATTTTCGGCACGAATTGCACTGTCAAAGGTAAACAAAGCCTAAGTAAATTCCCTGATGAATTGTCAGCTAATGAAATTTGCCATTGGGGGAAGAAGCAAGGCGTTCATATTGAATGAATAAAAACCAAGCTAATCCGGCGAACTTGGGTTAATTGATTTTGGGAAAAGTTTGAAAGCAAAATTACAGGCAATAACCAGAAAATCTTTTAATGGAAGCCAGAAAGTTTCCTTGGAGGCGTATAATAATTACTTCCTTGACAAGAATATATTTTCCTTTTACTCTAATGTAGCCGGGCTTAACCTTATTAAATAATTCCTGGCACGTTTCAAATCGAAATCTGTTTTATTTAATTACACACTTTCTGTGCAATCTCAGAGAATGCTTCACATAATTTTGCAACAAAGCTTCACCATTTCCCCAATCATCTTAGCCGGATGCCCATAAATACTCACTTCAATCTTTCGATTATGGTGATTAAATCAAATAATTGATGGGCATGCTTAATTTTTCTTTTTGCGCCAGCTGGTTTATATCAATGAGTACGAAACGGAGAGCTTGAATCCGCCTTTAAATCACATAACGCTGCGTGAAACGGAAATGCACGAAAAAAACTGTTGAATATAATTGGAGAGAAGCCACTTGACTTATTTCTTTTCCGAGCATCTCATTAAAATGTTTTCCTTTTTTAATATGGATTTTTTGAAATTAATTTTATCATGAAACTGTGTTGCACGAGCGTAATTGTGGGTAGTAATACTTTAAAAGTGCCCAGAAATACATAAGAGATTAATGTTACGTTTTGGTAGGAAAGTAGTTAAGTATAAATTAAGAAAAACTTATGAAAACAAGATTCACTAGAATTATAATAATTTTATACCATTTAACTATTTTTGATTCCGATATTTTTATAACTTATTTATTATTTCCACAAAACAGTTGTAATTTATAATTCCTTTTTTATACACCCACGTGTCGCTTTTAAGTCCGTTACGTAGTTTTCTATATATCTGTTTGGCGATATTCCGTTCCGATTTCATACGTTGCGGTTCAAATGAAAGCCGCATGAGAACTGAAATTTTTATCGGACGGATAGCGTCGACTGCGCTGCCGAATAAGTCGGACAGTTGCGGAGTCTGCGCAGAAAATACGCCGTGAAAATGAAAACAAACTTAACCCGTAGAATGGTGATGTGCCTAAAAAGACTTTCCCATAAAAATTAAAAATATTGTCAGAACATTTAAGAACCTTAAATTTTTTAGAAAATAATAAAATAGCACAGATGAAAAACTATTTAAAATATTTTTATATAAAACTAATAGCTTTAAAGTCTCATTTGCAATTGTAAGTATACTAAGTTTGTATATTAAATAAAAAATATATTAATAATACAAGGCCCTACCTACGGGAATCGATTAGAATATTTGTATATCGGTTCTGATTTACTTATAAGTAAGTATTGGCCAATGGCAAAAGCTTTAAATATATACACACTTGGCGCCCCATTGCGATTTTTATATAATCTTAGCCACTTCTGCGAAGAACAGAGGTGAAATATCCAATTCTATGGACTATAATCGAACTTAATTGAGTGCATTGTTTACATTTTTATTTTTCGTGCATTGTTTGGCCTGGAATTCGTTCATTGTCTGCTTGGTTTTCGCTCTTCTATTTTTGAATTTTGCTGTTTACATTGTAGTGGGTAAAACCAGAACAACTGAAATTCAAAGAAGCATCTAATGATCGAAAAAGGCAATTTTAGAATATATACATTTAAAGTCCTAAACCTACAGAAGTTATGTTAAAATAAACTGCTATCATTTTACCATAGAAATCCTTCGAAAGCTTGCAATTCACATGCAAAACACTTGAGCTAAAAAGGCTTTTCAGAGGATGGCACACTACATCCCTTGTAATATTATTGTCGCCCACTGAATTATTCATTGGATTTAATAAGTGAGAATGGAATGAAAATAGTTAAATATTAAAAAGTTATACCTCTTCACCAGATATTGCAAGAACATATATATGTTTTTTTATATAATTTTTTCTTTTAATAAATAACCATCAGTCTCAAGCCTATTATCGTTACTTATTTATTTATGAACAGGTCCTAAAAGCAGCCTCAATGGCCCAGTCAAACACATTATCTGTTATCAATTACTCTATAAATCACGAATAGCGGTGGGTATGTAATTTTACTGGAGGCTCTTGAAAAGATTTAGTATAAATCGAATTTGCTTTGACTAATTGGGCCTAGTTTAAGTTTGCCGTGTAACGTAAATAAATTCCAGCAGCTCATTTTAATGTACTGTAATATTAATCGGACTATAGTAAGAGATTTTTAATGTCTAGGTACTTTTTATTTTTTTAAATATTACAAAAATAATATTCACCTCTTTATTTAAAGTATGTATTTTTTTGACACATTTATTTAAGCTGAACTGTGCAGTTTAATTTGCTCACTTGGGCTTCCAACGAGTCCATTTAATCCGGCTACTTGAATGCGAACAAAGAAATAGCCCTTTACTGCCGACTGTAAAACAGTGTGAAGTGGTAAGGTGGTTCACCAGTCTCATTAATTTTACTCAACCGGAGATGAATAATGAGTTGGTTTTAGGGGGCAGCTCGCACATAAAATATAAAACTCGTATGTGGTCAAGCCAGCAATCTGCATTTTAGGCCGCAAAAGGCTCGAATTCTCCCCTGTGTGCGAAAATGTGGCAGGACATTTTGAGTTTCCTGTGTTGTTCTTGTCGCCTTTTCCTGATTGCTGCCTTCTGGCTGGAGCATTTTCTTATTTTTTTTTGTTTTTTGGTGCACCCAAAATAAGAACAGAACTGTTGGAATTTTTCATTTTAAATTGTCTGGTTGACTTTCGCCTCAGAGTTTCTGTCTCTTTTCGCGTCTCGGCAGCTGTTTCTCTCGTCTCTAGCCAATTACAAAAGTTGGCAAATTGTTGCTGCTCTCGTTTTTGTTATTTTGTGTTTGTTTATGTCTCCTCGTGCATTTTATATGTCTCTTTTTTTTTACCCCGGACCATATTGGCTGTCGTATGGAACTTAAACTTTTCACGGCAGAATTTTAGTGGACCGAGTGTGTGTGTCGTTTTCTTTCAGACCAGGAAAATTTATTCATGGCAGGAACTTTGTACTAGTGCCAGTTTTGAAAAAACTGATCAAAAAAGTTGAAAACATTTTAGATAAAATATCAAAGTTGTTTTTGGGTACGGAACATTTTTTCTTTCATTAAAATTTTATTCAAAACCTTTTAATAACTTACGATTTTTTAAAGAATTTTTCGTATCCTCTCACAATTCATTTTTCTTATTTTCTTTTAGTTTTTGTTTGTGTGCTGCGGATGAATCATATTGCCCAATCAGCAAAAGCAATTTGATTTTGATTTTAATTGTTTGGCCTGAGATTCCGTGCGTCTGTTTTTTGTTTGGTTTGAGTGGCTCTTGTTTGGTTATTGACCATTCACTTCAGTTGCGTACACAGAATGTTTACGTTTCCAGTTTTGTAGATCCATTATATCAATGTGTTTTTTTATGAAACCGAAAAGATTCCCATGGTCTTAGGCTAGACGAAAGAGGTGACGCCCACCTTGATATGCTCCCGTCCTTCCGTTTATAATTACTTTATTTATGTGAGAGTAAAAATACAATAGGAGCGGCATCTGCAAATAATATGCCATTAATTCTTAATTAATTTGATTCTGTCTGGAAATATTTATGAAGGCAGGTGCTAGGAACCAGGAGGTCTTATTGCGTTCTTTTTGATTTAATTTACACCTAATATATTTAATCCAATTTTTAAAGTCTTATATTTCTTAAAGCTTACTGTTCCTAAAAATGTTAAACCTTTAAAAATAAAAGATTTAATTAAGTTTACACAAGGCGTTTTAAACCGCTTTTAAAAAAAGAAAGATAATAATTATGCGAGCCCTGGCTGCGTAAAGATAAAAGGAAATGTCCTTTTGGGGAAATTAAAAATAAAGAAAATTAAATGCAGGTCTCTAGTGGCTTTCTCTGCGGTTTTCCGCCACGTTGGACCGACTGCACTTGGTTTGATGAGTAATCCCTGCCAGACTGCAACCAACATTTATTCCCTGTCGCCTGCCATTTTCTGCGGACGAGGCCAAGTCTGCCGCAACGAGAGAACCGTAAAGCATAATGCCCGCTGACATATATATCCATTTTTTTTGTTTCTTCAGATTTACCCCATTCGGTGGACCGACCGATTCTTGAAATAATAAAGAGAAATTATTGGCGCACTGCGTCTTCGGTGTGCGAGTGTCCTCGTAAAGTGTCCGTGTGAGCAGAGGAATAACATATATCAGTTCTATGTCACTTATTTTTATAAAAACACACGCAATCCTGGAGCTTTAGAAATTCACCCCGTTAAATCCTTGAGCATCCTTTGCGTGTACGTGAGGCGATTAACATAATTAGATGAGCCTGCTCAGCCCTTAAAAATTCAAAACTCAACGCTCGGGACAACACCTTTCAGATAAGCTGACGGAAGTGTGTGCCAGGGATTTCCACAATGTTTAAATATTTGCACAATGAAAGCGATGCCCACAGAAAACCATAATCCCACCGCACCCCCGTAACCCTTGAAAAATCCCACAGGTGACAGGGGACAAACTTTGTCTTAGCAGCCACACACATCAGGCTTAAACATTAGCATTAACTTTCGGTGTCGGGTTTTCCCCCCCGGGCACTTAAACACCTACTTAAGAGCTCAGACAGAATTTCCACAAATTCCCGGTGAAATTTTAATTTCCTCAAGCATATGCAGGTCTTAAGTTGGCATGTTCCCAATAAATCTAATGGGCTTCTTGGGTTTTCATGCTTAATTATCTGGTCTGTAATTTATTGCTAAGATTTTAATTATAATAATATATATAGCTTAACATAAAAGAACAAATAATAAAAAACAATTATGACTTGTATTTAATGTGCACTCAATTAGCCGCGATTTAATAAATACCGTTCTCAAAGCCAATAAATACATTGTCTGCCAATTTTCGATTAAACAATTTGAAACTTTCCCAATTGAACTAATGGATGCTGCTCTTTTGCTCACATTTTATTCAAAACTAATTCTGCAATCGCTTAAGTTCAAGTGGGGTGAGTTTTGCAACTAAAACAAACTTTTGAACTTTTATTGAAAATATCTGGGGTTGAGTAATTAAGTTGTGACAAAAAAAAAGTTTTTCCGTCGTCCAGTGGATCCCCTGCCTTGTCTTGACTTAAGAAATAATATTAATTGGGGAATTTTATAAGGAGAATAAATAAAAAAAATAATTAAAAACAATATATTATCGTTGTAGCTCGGTTAAAAATTGCCACATGTTTACACATTACACAATAAATATTTTGAATCTCAAAAGATTAACCTTTTTTATGAGTATAAAAAGATTTGAAAATAATCGATAAACTACCATAAATATTATTATCAAAACTTCCAGTGGATTGGGTACATTTTTATTAGCACACTTTCTGCATTGTCATAAACGTTGTCTTGGCGGAAAAGCAGAAAGCTGCCATTTTACTAACCCACATCCGATAATAAAGAGAATCCGCCACAAAAAAGAGCTTTTCTTTACCTAACAAGTGACAGTAGCTAAATATAAGTAGGAGAATAAAAAAATGAGGAACAGGAACCAGGCTAAATGCAGTTTGTTTCCGCTTACCTGTCAGTTAAAAAAAACAAAAACACTTGTTGGCTTTAATTAAAAGATTAGTTAAATATATATATTTTTGATATTAACATTAATTAGTGTTTTTAAAATTATATTTTTAAACTAACTGTAACATTTTCTTCCCTTACGTTTTAATTCTCATAAGAAGCACAGTGTGATTTTTGGCCCTTTCAAATAGTAATTTTATTAAAAGTTCGATAAATATTCATAGAGTTTACTTTTCCTATATTAAAAATCTGCTGACAAAACAAACGAGGCGGTAATAAAATTGAATTGAAGGGCCATATTCAAACCCATTGCCATCTGCAGTTGAGACTAGTTTTGAGCCCAGCCGGCCCTTAAATCCCGT